CACACACACACACACACACACACACACACACACTCACGTGCACACAGACACAGTTTATATCTGACCTCTTGTCCGTCCACTGCAGGATGCAGCCCCCCCCCTCCCCCTTCAAATAACTTCCACTGTGTTTTATCAGCTGTTTTAGTAAGTGTTACATACATGCCCAGGTTGTTCTGGTGTCATTTTGCCATTATATATTACACAGTAATACCTACGTTTTACTTGCTGAGGACCCGAGTCTCATTTAGTATTCTGTCCTCCTTAAAAACTGTCTAAATGGCACCAACGTTGATTAGTACGGTACGCGGCGCACGTTCACTTTACTTTTCAAGGAATTTAAGTGATCAAAAGTCCGTTTACAAAGTGCACTACATTACACATTGTGAGAAGGAAGAACAATGACAAAAAACGATAGTTTTACCGTGCCCAGGAATGGAAAGCAATCAGCTGCAGTGAGACGGTGAGTTTTTTATTTTTATTTTTACAGCTCCACAAATCAACATACATACTATTAATGTATTCAGCCTTAAACTAAAAAAAAACCCTAATGGAAACCAAAATATTCAAACAAGAGCTATGAATGAGATACCATTGTAAATTAATCAGCCCCAACAAGGGTTTAAACACACACAGTGGCTCATCACACACACATACACACACACACACACACACACACACACACACACACACACACACACACACACAGAGTAAACAGAATGGCTGTTGTGCGGAACGTCACGGGGACCTCAAAACGCTTTTAAACGTTAGAAAACAGACATGAGTCACAATCTTGTTTAGTTTTAGTACGATTTTAAGGGCACTTGCAACACAATTAATCATGTAAGTGCAAAAAAATAAAAATAAAGGTGTTACAAAAGAGTTAAAAACACAAAGAAGAAGGAGGAAAGATCAGGACGATAGATGTTTGATAGGAAAGACTAAGAGGGAGCAAACCACACCAGAGCACCCACCAAACACTCACTCCCAGCGTTGTTCCTTTTAGTCTCTTCTTAAGAAAGAAAAAGAGGTTTGTTGGATATGAGAGAGAGAGAGAGAGAGAGAGAGAGAGAGAGAG